TGGAAAGAGGGGGAGAGAAAGGAGAATATTAATATATTTCTCACTGCATAATCATAATTATCCTCTCTGCCAGTGCCATGTCTTGTAATCTCTTTGCAATATGTGGATGTGAATAAATCGGATGTGAACAAAAGCAAAAAGAACTCCGAGACATTCAGAAAGGTGTGTGTCATGTTATCTTTTTTAAAAGAAGAACAAACTTCAATAAACAATCTCTCTCTCTCTCTCTCTCTCTCTCACACACACACACACAGACACACACACACACACACACACACACACACACACACACTCACTCACTCACTCTGTGTGTGTATATGAGTGTGTGTGTATGTGTATTCCATGACTTACAACCACAATTGGTGGTTACAGAAGAACTGAGTATTGAAGTTAAAAAACCAAAACCAAAATTATATTTACTCCTAATGTGGAAAAATTAGATTGGAGGCCAAGATAAAGAAATAAAGATCAGATGCATGTAATTTAAGACATGAAAAGGCAAAACTGGAAGAATGCAAGGATCTAGACAACCCTAATAAAAAGTTGGCTTTGCACCAGAAAAATGGAAAGTTTTGTAAACCATAAAGCAAGAAATAACAGCAATAGCAGGGAAAATTTAATGCTATGATGCATGACTCATCCAATTTAAGCAAAATCAGCTATTGAATTCTGATCAAAGGCCATTCTACCAAAGTATAAATGACAATAGAAATTCTGAAAATGGAAAACCAAACAAGACAGAAACAATCCAGTTTTGGAAAGATTGATGGGAAACTGCTGGGTAGGCATAAAAATTGGAAAATGAATTTAGTAAAAATCAAACAGAAATTAACAATAACAGCAGAAATAGTTAAACGTTGAGTGAAAAGAATTAAAAACTGGACATTTTCTGGAAATAATCAATTTTGGCTTCTGGAAATAAGCCAAATTGTATGGCTTTGGGTTCAAATATCTGATTAGTAAAAGTCATGGTGATGCAGTGGTTAAAATTGTAGGCTAACCCACTGTCCACTGCCAAGAGTTCGATTCTGAATGGCTCAGGATGACTCAGCTTTCCATCATTTCGAGGTTGGTAAAATGAGGATCCAGATTGTTGAGGGCAATATATTAACTCTGTAAACCACTTAGAGAGGGCAGTCCACCACCATGCAGTGATACTGTATATATATCTAAGTGCTATTGCTATTAGATTGCATCCGATTGCTAAGCAGCTTAATGAATTATTGCACAAAGGAGTCATCAATAACTTTTTAATAACTGGCAAAATTTATATGATTCAGAAAGACTCAGTGAAAAGGACAACACCAGGAAACCGTAGGCCAATATCACCTACGAAGTTTAAATTAGTCACTGGCATAATAACAGACAACATCCAAAATTATTTAAAAAGAAATAACATCTTCCCAATAGAACAGGAAGGAAGGAAAAGGAAAAACAGAGGGACAAAAGATCAGCTTCGGATTGATAAAATGGTTTTGGAGAATTGCAAAAGACTCAAAACTAAGTGGCACCTGGTCTCAAATTGATTATGAAAAGGTTTTTGATTAATTATCACATAGTTGGATGATCCAATGTTTGAAAACAACTGGTGTCAGTAAAACCATAGAATGTTCCTAGAAAAAATAGTGAGATAATTAAATACAAAATTGGTGGTTAAAAATGAAAAAATATGAGCTTGTCAACTTTAGGAGAGGCATCTTCCAGGATGACTCTTTATCATACTTATTATTTGTCCTTGTTTTGAAGAAAATAAATCATGGCTGCAAATTTTGATACTGTTTAAATTTCCAATGATATGTCAAAATGCAAGTCTGCTTTCTAATGCACAAAATGTGTATATATTTGGGGTTCTCGGGGTTCTCTGAGCGTGATCAGTGTTGCTGCTATTTCCTAGCCTAGTCATGAAATGTCTGCAGTAAAACAACCAAGCTCAGAGAATATAAAGATTTGACGAATTCAATCCTTATTTATATCTCCTGCACTATCAGAAATGTTTAGATAGACACAATTTTTACTGGGTAAAAAGAAAATTTCGACCATCAGATGTTCCAGCTTGTGAGATACAATAATAATTTGTTGTATTTTTAAAAGAAAAATGCAAATGAGTTTTATATGTTCCTTATGCAATGTATTTGCAGAGATATGCAATGAGATGATTTTAAACTATTTATAATTTTTGTTTGATAAATTGATTCTACAGTTTAAAATTCCTTGATCTATTTATTTTTATTGTCTCTCATTAGAGACAATTATTATTATTTTTTGATGGAAAGGTTAGATATGAACCTAACAAATAAACAAATAAACAAACAGATAATTTTCTTGGAAAACTACTTCATTGATTTCAGTGAGATTCCCCACCCACCATCCTGTAGCCAAGTGCATATACATTTATAACCTTATTTTTGCTTGAAATATCTTAAAATGAACTATTTTGTAGACAATGGCACATTCTTTTCTTAAGAAGTCTATTCCTAAATTTAAGTTGGACTTACTAAGTCCTTCAAAATGAAGTATGTACATATTCTTAGAAGCAATGGAAATATATATTTCCATTGCAAAAATATATTTCCATTGCTTCTAAGAATATGTACATACTTCATTTTGAAGGACTTAGTAAGTCCAACTTAAATTCAGGAATAGACTTCTTAAGAAAAGAATGTGCCATTGTCTACAAAATAGTTCAATTGTTTTCTTAAGTTTTTGCGGGTACTTACATGTATGGTATTCAGCTTTGTTCAGGTATTTTCCCACGTCATTGTAGTTGTGCTTTTAAAGTTGTAGCAACGTTTCGTCAGAATCTCATCTGCCATCATCAGGCTTCTGTATTGTGTTCGTCTGTGAGTCAGACTTGTACAGTAAATATATATGTAATTTCCTCTTAGTCCTTCTTTATTTCAAAATAACCAGAACTAAAAGCATTTTCATAATATCCCAGTTGTAACAAAGAACTCCTGTTCTGGGTATTGTGAAAGAGGGTGAGGTATCTTGAAATAAGACAGCAACTAATTGTAGTTAGCCAACTTCAGCATTTTTATTTAGCATTGCCTACATCATTACATTAAATATTAAAAATGTTCAAGTATGTAAATGTAGCTATTGTAATTTCAACTGCTCCTCCAAAATCAACTAACTAAAATGTTGATTAAACAAACTGTAGAACAAAGCACAGAGATTTGTTCTTTACAAGTAAGGCATCCATATTTCTGAATTTTCCAAGAATTTCTAGGAAAGATTTCAGTCTGAAACCCTGAGAATTAGGTAGAACAACAATTGGTGTACATCAATATAAAACAGTTGTCTGTGCAGAAGATCAAAAGTTCACTTCCTGACATTTTGATCAAAAATTGGAAATGCCCTGAGGTCATAGACAGCTGCTGCCAGTAAGCACCTATAATCTTGAGCTAGATGAACAAATGGATTGATTCAAGTTTGTAGGCCTCACATGGTGTCATACATACTTTACAGATAAGTGATGTGATTTATTTTAAAATTAGTAAACTAAATTAAATGTCCTTGGTTCAAAGATGGATAGCCATTCCTATTTCGGGGGGGCGGAAATCTCAATTTATTTTATTTCTAAAATGTATATTTTCTCTTTTTCTCCAAATGAACAAACTATTCCAGAAGTTTCCCTGGGCAACTTAGTAATTGAGAACGAGAGAATTAAGGTCAGCGGTAAACAGTTTCTCAATATTCCCATAAGTAGAAATGAATCAGAAAACATGTGAAATATAATTAATAGCAATCAACCCATCAATAGCATGTAATTAACTACTGGAGTGTGTCAATGTGGAGGAGGGGTGGGTTTGCCATGGCTTGTAGAGTTTCAGTCAAGCTAAGTTGTCGATCAACAAGAAAATCAGGACTGAAAACAGATGATCAGTTGGCATTCAGGTGTGGAACTTACACAAGGATGCAATAGATCATTGTGATATTTCTCATCTATTGCATGACCAGCACCAAACCCATAAATTATTACAAGAAGAAAGTGAGGAATCAAAGTTAATGGTTTGCTATGCCAATAATCATAAAATTTAACTCTATGATCTCCAAATATTGTCAGCAAAGACTCCTATGAAATTTTGGGGAATTGCTTCCAGTAAACCAAGAGAAAAGTGAGCTACGTGTTAAGTGATCTCATTGATATCAGACAGATTTTTATTATCTGAAATTTATCTTTATTCATTATTAAGAATATGCTTTGTTTTGTGCCTAGATTCACCCTTGACAACTCATAGACCATCAAGCTGATTGTCAGTAATGATGGCAGACCACCAAACCATATGCATTTTTTTTTTGCCATTCCTGGCTCCTGCAAGTGAAATTTTTTTAAGCTAGGAACATTACTACTTCGTTGGGGCTAGGACACAGCCTTTCCTCATGTCTTAAGTTTTATTTTACATTTCCAAGTTTTCTTGATTGGAAAACCATCTCAATACCAATTTCACCAAATAGCTTCCTTGATAGTGAGATGATTCTAAAAATCAGTTTGGGTTAGAAAGTGAACAAAGGACAATGTATTGTGGACAGATAATTTAGATCAATGTTAAAAGAATCAAAATAAATTAATATGGCTGTCTCAAGGTTCCAAGGAATACACTGAGGCCATTTTTAGGCTTCAGTGTTGCTAATGGCAGTTAAACACCCCTTCTCTCTCCTGGAAAGAAGAACCATGCTTGGATAGAAGAACCATCAACTTCTTGCAGAAGAGCCAAAAGACACTAGAATTCTTAGGTTTCCAGAGCTGCAATCTTTTGGAGCTGGGGAAGTTTGGAATTTGGATGGGGAAGAAAACACTAAACTCATGAGGGCTGAGTACGAATGATGCGGTTAAAAAAAAATCAAAAAGGCAGATGAGATTGTAATGGACCACCCTGAAGCCAGCCATGGCTTCCTGGTTGGAAGATAAACTTGGAGTGGATTACATGGCAAAATAAAGTAGCTATTGAAACCTGAACAAACAGAGCTAGACGAATCTTCTTTTTCCTAATCCCCTATAACTGCCACCATTTCTCACATTTCCAGCTTAACAGAAAGTGTTAGTATTGGAATGGAGCAATAGGGATGGTGCCCAAGCTCTTCTTTTCTCATGGGTGTGTATTTATTCCAGCTTCCCAAGTTTTGAAGGCTCTCCACATTGGGAGTTGCTTATGAGAGGTGAAGTGACTGGCTTATAATCTGACCCATGAAAAATCTGCCCATCTATTTCGGGGGTGTCCTGTTTACTTGGGGACAGGGAGCAGTTGTCTCTTTTGAGAAAGTGCAGTTCTCCACTCTCTCTGCTGTGACTTTGACTTCGGTCCTGAAGGCTCTCCTTACATCTTTTCCCAATAAGATAGAAAGCTTCAAGGAGGCTAAGTAGGACACAAACACAGGCAGTAATAATCATGAACAAAGTGAAGATGTTCTTTTCTGTTGGCCTGGCTATGTAGCAGTCAACTAGGTTAGGGCAAGGTGCGAGAGAGCATTTGACTAGAGTAGGAAGCTTGTAGTTTGGGTACACATGGTAAAAGATAAACAGGAACACAATGTCCACCGTAGCTTTGAAGAGAAGACTGAAGAGGTAGGTCCACCATAACCCTCCACGCTTCTTGCCTGGAGGATAACGTGGTCTGAAGTGATTCCCAGATTTCTGTAGACGTTTCTTCAATTTGGCTTGCCGATAGGCTACATGCATAACAACCAACAGGGAAGGACAGGTGACAAGGATGAGTTGCAGGGCCCAGAGTCGGATGTGAGAGATTGGAAAGTAAAGGTCATAACAGACATTGGGACAACCTGGCTGCTCAGTGTTGCAGTCAAAGTCCTTATTGTCATCTCCCCAGACTTTCTCTGCTGCCACTAAGTAGACTAGAAGCCGAAAGATGAAGACAACAGAGAGCCAAATACGCCCAAACGCTGTGGAGTATTTGTTCACTCCCCCCAAGAGGTCTTCCAAACCAGACCAATTCATCTTAATTTCTTAATTTCTTTTAGCAGAGTCTGAAAAGAGAAATACAGTGTGGTTAGAAAGTTTTGATCTCATTAACATGATCTAGGTTAGCTTCTTGAATCACATGATCTCCAGACTTGTTGAGTTTCAACCCTCATATATAGCTATGGAAGTGGGGTTCAGGCTGAGTTTCTCTTCTTCAATCCATTTTGCCCATCAACCTTTTTATTTGATGGGCTTGGTGTCTTTCTCACTCTCAGTCTTCTAGATTTGATCATCTACCTTGAAGCCAACTGAGAAGAAAAAAGAAGCAATACTGCTGGAACTTTCTTCTATTTAAAATGTGAACAGCTTACCCTTCTCCATATAATATGTAGTACCATCCATATTAGGGCTAGAAAAACCAGCACTCCATTGGCCATGCTGGGAAAATCTTGGAAACTGCAGGACTACACACATCAACCAGGTGATAGGTTGGAGATGGTTGCTATTCAGGCCTCAAGAACTTAGACTTAGAATAACTTTATTGTCATTTTAAATGTACACTAATCAGCATACATTAAAATGAAATAAAATTTCATTGCACAATGCTCTCTAAGGGTCATTACCTCCAATATACACTGCATAAACATATAAATAAATAAATAAATAAACCCATACAACATACTCTATATATTATATGTCACAGAGAAACAACATAGCAGACTGGTTTGGATATATATACATGTACATGGCAACTTGTCTTTTCAAATTTGTAGTTCCTTCAGATAATGTTTGGGATATTAATCCATTTTAACATATCTATATCACTTTAACCTAACATAGCCCTCCCCTTCTTTTGTTTTTGGGTTATGTGAAAATGATGACAAATAATGATATTGATATCATAACACAAATCCTGAGTAATATTTGGTGTTAACAAATGGAGCCATTTATTACAGCTGATATAATGGTACGTGGGAGTGATCCTGGGAGACAGCACAGTGAGACACAGCCAATAGATCAGCCAAAGTCTGATAAAAGGCAGCTTAGCTTGCAGCAGGAATGTGGATGGGGAGAGAAGCTCAGAAGGGACCCTCCCTAGTTTGTTGGGCTGTACTGTAAGGGAAGCGGTGGCTCAATGGCTAAGACGCTGAGCTTGTCGATCAGAAAGGTCAACAGTTCAGCAGTTTGAATCCCTAGCACTGCATAACGGAGTGAGCTCCCGTTACTTTTCCCAGCTTCTGACAACCTAGCAGTTCAAAAGTATGTAAAAATGCAAGTAGAAAAATAGGGACCACTTTGGTGGGAAGGTAACAGCATTCCCTACACCTTAGGCATTTAGTCATGCCAACCACATGACCACGGAGACATCTTCGGACAACGCTGGCTCTTTGGCTTTGTAATGGAAATGAGCACCACCCCTTAGAGCTGGAAACGACTAGCATGTATGTGGGAGGGGAACCTTTTCCTTTACTTAAAGGGGACTGTGCGGGGAAGAAATGTACCTTCATATTTGCAAGATTCTGTTAATGTAACCTTACAATAAAGTAGAATTAGTTGATTTGGTTGTGTTTCCTGTTTGATATACTCTGTAAGGCTGACAGCTACTGATTGGGATTAGTTTGGAATTGGGAAAGTTTAGAAAACCTCATTCTATTTATGACTTGGGTTCAGTTTCCCTTTGGAACTGAATGCAATTACAATAATATTGACTACTTTTGCTGATTATCCCTATTTGCAATTTCTCATATTTTCAAGTGTAGTTCAGCAAGCAAGCAAGCAAACATACAAAATTCTAAAGCATCCTGAACCCAAGTCTTGCTAAGGGAAGGAAGAATCCTTATTTTTTTTAAAAAATCCAATGTTTTAGAATCTATACATGTCCAGACACTGAGAAGAAGGACTTGGATATCTAATTAGTTTTCTCTGGTTAATATTCTGAATTTCTGGAATGAAAGGCTTTTTTGCAACAATTTGGGGGAACGACTGCTGCTGTCTGAAATCATCAAATAACCATCCAGCTGGGGTCACTCCTAAAAGTCTGCAGTTAGTGAAGCAAAATAAAGGCATGTCAGAAGCCTGGAGAGAAAGAACTTCATCAGAAACTTGCCAAGTGACTTTGAAATGTAGAGAGGGGATGACAAGGGAAAGAATCTTAATTAGGCCTTGAGAGAGTATTATGTTCCTTTTTCCTCTTAAAGACCTCTTCTAGTAAGGTAAATTGGCTGAGAAGACTGAACAAACTTAATATTTGAAACAACAACCCAAGGGTTCAGGAACCAGGCAAAGGTGTTTCATCTTCAATCCTCCTAACCAGTCAAGCTTTACTAATTCATCATAGACCACACATTCCTAAGGCTGTATTGGAAGAGATGATGGCATTTCTGTCTTAGTATTTTGCTTCTCAAAATGTACATTCTTGGACTTTCACTGAAAAAGAGTCTTCTTGATTTAGGGGAACTTTTGTTTTTTTAAAATGAGGAACTTATTCAGCTCTTGATGGCATTCCTGGGGCCTCTTCAGAATAAGACTATGATGCTAGGGCAAACAATATATTATGTTTTCCACTGATGTGCAATATGAGGGGGATTTCCCCTAAGGGGAATGCATGTAATTCCTGAATGTTCTAAGGCAGGGATCTATGGAGATTCTCAGTCATCCAGGTCTTGGGTGCTTTTCTCAAGAGGCAACTGGACTATCTTGTTTTTCTTTGAATACATTTCACTTTCAATTCAGCAGCCCATCTGCATTTAAAAGATAAAGTCCACTCTTTTGAAGACAGTAAAGTCCACATTCTGGACAGAGTGGACTGCTGGTTGAAAGAGAGGTTAAAGAGGCCATCTATGTCAAAATTGAACAGCCCTCTCTCAACGGAGGAGGAGGGATATGACATTATCTATCTCCAGTCTACAACACAGTCCTTTCAGCAGTTCCAGGAAGGTTCCACACTCATTTGCACTACTCAGGTGACCCTGAAAAAACAACTAAATCTCCAGGTGACCTTAATAACCTGCTAAAAGAATGCAAATGACCAGCTGTCTGCAAGGAGTATAAATTTTTCCATTCCCCACCATCCAGTCAGAGCTGAAGAAACTTTTTGGATGAGAAGCAAAATGTCTTCAAAGAAAAACAAGGAAGTCCAGTTGCCTCTTGAAAAAAGCACCTTTGAGTGAGATAGGGATCCTTAACTCCTGGACCATGACCTGTTGGGAAGCAGACCACAAAAGTGGCAGGTGAGCATGAAAAACTTCATTTGCACATGCATGAGATTTAGGTTGCATGCATGAACCCCCACTCTGCCCCCAAACCACTATAGCCATCACTACCGGTCTGCAGAACCAAAAAAGTTGGGGACCTCTGTTCGAATACTTAGGAAATGTTCTAAGAGTAAGAACAGTTAAATAGTGGAACCAATTATTAACAGAGTGGTGTAGACTTCTCATTAGATGTGTTCAGACAGTCTCTTGCTGTGATATTTTAATCATAATTCTGGTACTATGTTGAGGTTTGGAATCCATGCTCTGCCCAGCCCCTTCTAACTTTATGATTCTATGCCGTCTGTAACCCCATTACTCAGAGTGGTATAATATTTCTAGATCTGAAAACAACATTAAAGCTCAGATTTCCTATTAGGAAAAATCTCCTAGAAGGAATACTCTAATTAAGTCTGTTTTGAGGGAATTTAATTAAATGTGGGAAGCCCTGGGAGGCTGCAGACCTACAAAAGACTGAAGACAGAACATTCACATCCACAAAAGCTTTTTACTACAGTATTTCATTCCTAACTTACATTCTACCTACAAGATTTTCACTGGGTTTTTCTTCCGTGCAGAGAGAAATTTCAGAATTTAATTCTCTTTCATCAGTTGAATGGAAACTGGTAGAGAAAAATCCCAGGGGGCTTTTTGAACATTATCATATATCACTTGCTTATATAAGGACTAACTTTAAAAAGAAAAAAGGAATCTAATCTACAGCAGCTAATAAAACAACGTGGCAGGAAGGAAGGATGACTCACAATGTCTGATCCTTCAGATCAGCAAACCCACCAACTTCTGTCATTTCAACCTTTCCACAGGGAGTGAATCAAATAAATAAGTTCCTCTCCATATATATTTCCTTCCTCTTCCTTGAGCCAAGAGGCAAAACAGTAAGAATAAGAAATTAATTTTGCAAAAGAGAGCTTTAACTTCCATATTCAGAAGTCAAAAAGCAATAGAAAGTGGCGCAAGGAGCAGCTGAGGTTACAATGTGTGCTGGACAAATGAATGTTACAGGATCAGGATAGCTTTGGAGAACAGTTGAAAGCTCTCTTATTTTAAAATCATGCTCATTAAAGAAAGGGAGAGAAAATGGAAGGAGTGGGATCCTTGGTGCTCTCTGAGCTTGGTTGCTTTCTTGCAGAGTTTCATTACCAAACTAGGTAATAGTTCATCAGTTCTAGAAGGGAGTAGGGTTTTCCCTCTGTTTATATACCACGGCTTACCCTATCAGTGTTGGTGGGTATGTTGTTAGTGGTTTCTTATTTAGGCTGTTCTTGACTGAATTTTTTTTTGTCTGAGTTGGCATTTCCTTGATTGGGATATTGGGTAGTTAAATAGATGTTAATCTGGGCTTTGAGACAATCTGGGACAAAAGCAAGGAACGTTTGGCCTGGAAGTGTTGTCTTCCTGATGATCCTCTGTGAAGCTGTCCTAAGCACCTAAGAAAGACTCAACAATCACTCACTCACTCAATCAATCAAAATCAATCAGAATAGAGCTGGAAGGGATCTTGGACATCTTATTAAAAAACATTTAAAACATATTTTAAAACATTCTTATTAAAAACAAACAAACAAATACATATAGCTAAGCATTTGGTTTGTCTTGTAGGGCATCCAAACTACTAGACATGATAGAATGTTGCCCTCTCAACTGTTCCTGTTTGGTTGTCTAGAATTGGAAAGAAATGTGTGTCAGGGATCCGGTAGTTACCCCCATTTAAATCATGAGTCTCTAGCCAGATTTTCAAAGCTCAAAGAAGATTTATTAGGAGAAGACATGCTGGTGCTGCCTGGATGATGCCG